GAGAGTTGAGGCCTCCCTCGAGAGCAGCCCTAAGTGGGATTATGGGAGGGATACCCGGCAAACAATCAGGGACATCGTCCTCTCTGCAGCTGAGATAAGGTACTATTGTTCCCCGCCCCCTAGCCATAGAGAGGGAAGAGAGGAAAAGGATGAGGGAGAGGAGCAACCGTAAGAAGAGGAGGGCAGAGAGAGAGAGAGAAGGGTTGGCTTGCGGCTGGTGCCGAGGCTGGTGCTGACGTTGACGACTGGGCCGAGCAGTGCCTGACCGCGATACTGCAGCGCCAGCACCTCTCGTCGTGCCGCGCCACGCCCCGCCGGGGGCACCGCCAGAAATTGGCGAAAAAAATATCGCATTATCAGCAGATTATCGGCAGAATATTTACTGATGGGTTGATTTTACATATGCGTTCACTGGAGGAAACAAAAGATGAGCAGTCGCACCTTTTAAGGTGCTACGGGCGGTTTAGTGCCTTATTTTCAGACATTAGGTTTTCCAATGTGTTCTTGTTCTCGTGGTTTAGGGACTGGGGACCGCAGTTTCGCATAAATAGACTCTCAGTATACTTTTGTGTACATTGAACGAGGAGGAGGGTGGGAAAGTAAAGGGGTAGGTAGAACGAGGTGCACACGACCGCGGAAAATATTTCGACCGGAGGAAGGAAGTTAGCCGGGGGGAGAAAGAGGGGGGGGGGGAGGAATCGCATGGCATAGTCGTCCTAATGAGTGTTGCACCTCTTGCCCTCGCGCAAGAGGAAGGGGGAGGAGCTCGGGGGAGGACAAGGACGACGCTCTGGGCGTCGTCTCTCCTGCCAACCAAGTTGGGCGTGCGCGATGCCGATTGCCGCGCTAGCAGTGGTACACGGGCGCTGCTGCTGCCGCCGCTGCTGCAGCTACACGGGAGAAAATGGCAGTTTGGAGTTTTGCGGGGCTGGAGCGGAGAGCAGCGGCGGCCAAGGCGAGAGCGAGCGGCTCGCGAACTTGCCCGCGCGCGCGCGCGCGCGCTCGCGAGAGAGCCAGAAGTTTGGCAATCAATAGCGCGGGGGCGACGTCGTCGTCAATACCAGCAAACATTTCGCGAATTATTCCGTTACGCGCGCCGCTATCGCCCTTTCGGTACAGTATACTGCTGCACCGGCGGCTGAGTACACTGCCAGAGAGAAAGAAAAGAAAAGTGAGACGTGGTTGGGCGCCGCCGAGCTATCGAATTGTGCGCACTGCGTGCTGCTCGGGGGGGGGGGGGGGGGCACTCAAAAAAGAGAGAAAGAAAAGAAAAACTTTTTTTCCCGTGCGCCATCGCCTCGCGGTCAGCGCAAAAGCGATCATAAATAGTTACTATCAGATCGGCGCTGGGGTACAACGTGAGAGAAGGGCCTTCCGACGGGTATTACTCTGCAAAACACCGGGTGAAATGATAAACGAGTGATATCGTAATGAGTACACTGGAAAAAGAAAGGATGAGCACATTTATAAAGGTGGTGCTTAAGAACAATTTTGTTACATGCAAGGCACTAAAACCTTTACTGCCAGAATTGAAAGGCACCTTGCACCTTTGTTTTTCAAGTGTATGGCGAAACCGTAGAATAATGTGCTTACAGTGTATAATGTGTGACACGGACACACACGTAATCGGACTTCTATCTATAAAAGAGCTCTCTACAATAACCCGAGGCGGCGACCCCAAAAGTGCCGAGGAGCGGGTTATCATGAGACACGCCACGCCGCCAGTGAATCAGACCCTGACGCGTCCGCGGCTGACTTGCTCGCTGACCGTCACGGGGGCCCATCCTGGGCCCGCCCGCCACGAGTCGAGGGTCCTCGGGTCCTGCGCGGCGCGGCCCCTACATGGATCCTGCAGGAGCCAGCGGCTCACTGCCCACTACACAATGCTTGCGACGAGCGGTTTCGCCATATTCACAAAACTTCACGTTCTTTTCAAACTTGCAAGCAGGGCATAAGCAGGGCTTTGAGTAAGAGTTGCATGATTATTCTTCACAAGCTTGCAAGCTACAAGTACTTTGCAATGCAAACAAATAGTTTCGCGAGTGGATTCCGCTAGATACTTGAGAAACATTTTACAGTGAGCGTCAGAGAGAAGCGCTGACGTATCCTGTCCGCCCCCGCTGCTGGAGGGCGCCCCGCCCCGCCACGAGCCACGGCCACGCCCCCGCGCGACGCCAAAGACAAGGGAGCATTCAGTTGAAGAGGGAGGGGGGGGGGGATTTGAGCGGTAAAGCACATAGTTCCTCACGGCCCTGCCCTTGCAAATACCGCAAGTGTGTCCTGTTGTGCAAACATCTTGGCACATGACACTATTATGCAGGATACCCCCCCCCCCAATTTTTAGCGAAAAAGAAACTTGACAAGTGACCCAAAGTTTTCAGTCTACATGTCACACTTTGGAACGGCATTGAAAGTGTCTTGCTATTAGAAACAGCCGAGCGACAACCTTGTCCCACTGAATTGTAAACAAGATTTGGAACAAAACGGGGATTAATTAGACCAGCCGTAGAGGGGTCCATCATTCATCAAGCGCGTCACGACGACGGCCCACTAAAGCCCGGGCTCTTCAAGCAAAGCAAAAACTATCGCGACATTATCATATATTCTCCACAGACGAATGACCGACTGAATGAATGAATGAAACACTATACGCCATAATTGCGTCGAGTCGTTCAAAGACGAGACGCCCTCACTTTGATTCATTCGAGCGCAATGACGGGACGGGGATGCGCCGTGTATAGTACACGCGTTGCTGAAGCAAATCCACGCCCCCCCCCTCCCCTCTCTCTCCCTTTCACCCTCTCCCCTTCATGTTTCCCCAACTCATACACGTATATACATCGGCAAACGCGACGCGCGGCTCTTGTTCCTCCCGCCGCCCTCCTCCTCCTCCTCCTCCTCCTCCCCTTCTCATTGCGAGATGGGGCCCTACACGCCCCGCCCTGCCCCGCCACGCAGTGCTATCGATTGGGCAGCGCCCCACCCTTGCACAGTCTCACAGTCTTGCGTAAAAGGCACCTCTGCACGTTATCCGGCGCCACGCCATTCTCTCTTTTCTTCCTCACTTTTTGTGCCCCCCGTGCGGTGGCTGTCTGTGCACTGAGAGATTAACTCCCACCACACTCACTCCCCCCCCCCTACACACACACTCACACATACATACGCGGTGGCTGTACGCGCCACGGCTTGTACCGGGCGACCCGTAAGCTGCCGGGGTGGTGCCTGCTCCTGCCTCTCTCTGCGCTCCTCCGCCACAGGCTGCCCCGCAAGCGCTGGGCAGTCGGGCGGACCGAGCAGGGCAGGGCGTCGCGAGGATCATCAGCGCGAGCAAAAGTAAATCGGAAGGGGCGGGCGGAGCGGGCGGGGGTGGGACGCGCCGACCAACGTCATGACAGCGTACTGCTGCTGCTGCTGAAGTGAACTCGCGGAAACTTTTGAATGGAAAAGGAAGGAAAAACTGGAACAGCAATCAAGTGGCGAGGAGCAGGGGGAAGGGGGGAGTGGCCAAGAAGTTTGGACCGCGCAATAATACGAAACAGTGAGCGCGCAGCGGGCGGCGAGGGACGCTGGCAAGCCGTGCAAGGCACATTTTTAAACGCTTTGTCTTAAACCTATCAACATCTGACAGAGGACCTTCACACCAAAGTGACAAGAATGCTTCACCGTAGCTGCTAGATCTGACTGGCGTCAAGCGGTGGACGTTTATACTTCAATTACATTCAGCATTCAAACAAATCTGCCCCTCCGCCGCACAGAGACTTCCTCCTTCCTCCGCTTAAGTTCAGGGCCCCGCGATTGTGGGGAAAGTGGCGTAGGTACGTCGCGCCCAGCACGCACTAGAGGTGCTCGCCTCGCAAATGCCAATGATCCCGAGGGTCCGTGGGGGTCAGGGGGCTGTCTCCGAGGCTGCCTCCGCGGCGCGGCGAGCCAGGCGAGCCTTGCGGCGGCCGGCCGGCGCAGCCAGGGCGCAGCGAGCCGCTAAACAGGTTCTTGGACGAGCCGAGAGTGGGAGGTAAAGGGGGGGAGCACCGCGGTGTAACTCTTATACTGTCTTAGCCAGCGAGCAACGCGCAGCCCCCCCCCCCCCCCCCAATGGGGACACAACCTGCCTGCACCGCGAGATGCAGCCGAGTCGAGAGAAACAAGATGCTATTTACACTGGGAAAAAAATTGGGAATTGAAATTTAAAAAAAAAACAGGCCTAATGAAGGCGCTGATAGTGCAGATAATGATGGTGCTCTCGGGTCAAATTATTGAAGACGGCGAAAAAGTGTATGCTTTTTAGTCAGCCTGTAAGGCCTGTGCTTTCACAAGTGTGAATGTGAAATAAGATGAAGTACGCCACACCATGCTTTTTCGTGCTCTTACGCAGCAGAAACTGAAACGCGAATAAAACAAAGGAAAGCGTAAGCGTCTGTCCACTGGATCAATTAAGGCGAGAGATGACCCGATTGGGCGCTTAATTGTTATAGGGCTTACCGACTTTTTAGTGGGCATGAACGTTTGCAAATCTGCGACGCAATGAGTACCGCGGCTGCAGTAAGGCGACTGGATGACGGAAGTAACGGAAGTAACTAAGGTGTGCGGATGTTGAGGTGAAAGGGTGAGGGGGTGCTGTATCGGGAAAGCGGCAAATTCACACTGTTATGGCCGCCGGCGAAGCTGAAGTTGACCTCAAACAACCGCCATTTCTTGGGCATAACGTGCACGATATACTGACAGAGACGGGACGACAATTCAACTCAAGATTTATTCGTTTCGAGAGTTCTTGCATCTTCATAGTGTAAGAGCGTGAAATTTGAGGAAAACCCTGAGATTAAAGAGAAAACCTCTACATGACGCTTGCGGCGTTTAGGGGTTATGGGCTGCTCAAGACCACCATGTTTACGTAGTTACTTTCGTTTTAAGGCCGAGTACTCAAAATTAGCACAACATAGAGGCGAGAGTCTATGCCGAATTAGAAAAGCGATGCATTTTCACTCAATATTCGTTTAACAAACCTTGAGATTGGTGACAATCACGGGGGAGCGGAGCGACGCCAGACGATCCTGCCCAACCACTCGCGCCGAGCCGAAGACGAGCCGAGCAAAGCCGAGCGCAGGGCGCCGCGCCGAGAGGATACGAAATACGAACACGGGCAACTCCTGTCACACCACACGCCACACCTCCGAGTAAATACGTAAATGCTTCGCGTCATGTCATGAGTGATAGGTGTGTTGTGTTGATTCAGATCAGTTGAACTGATTTTAATAAAAAGCCCTAATTAGGCGCGTCTACTACGCGCATTTTAGGCGCATGTAAGCGCGTTTTAGCAGTTTTAAACGGGACAAAAAATGCAGGGTTTTTTTTTAAAGCTACCCGTGAGACATCAACAGCATTTAGTACCTACTAAATTTTTACTAAAACACTGACTTCCATGTCATCACAGTACGATTTAGTAGCACCCGGTCTTTTCATCCGTTTCATCTCAAGCTCCAAGCCGCGAAACGGGCGGTCCGGTAGAACTGCCAACGCTATCTATCGCAAACTGTTGGAACTACTTTCAAAAAACATAAATTTCTCATACTCATAGCACCGCGCTTTTCAAAAACACAGCCAAACCCTTCAAGATGATGTAAGACAATATCTAAGGCAAGGAAAAAACTGTAAAAATCATTATCTTAACTACACAAGCCCTTAAAAATGTCTGGAAAGGTAGATAAGAAGGCCACGTTCAGTAGAGATGAGCTTCTTTCTTTTTCCAAAGAGGTATGTAGCTGACACGTTTTATGCAGGTTAGGAAATATTGTATACTTATTGTAAATAAAACTAACAAAGTTATCAAATGCTTAAAAATCAAATTTCATTGAAATTGGGATACACCTAAGATCTTTGTGGTCACACAATATCTCACAACTTATTTTTTATAACTTCTTCTTTTCTCCAGGATTTGGCCGATCATATTATGCGACTTCAGGCAAGCAATACCCAGTTAAGAAACCTGATAAAGAAACAGACAGAGGAAGGCAGTAAAAATATCCCATCGACCTCCCAGCAACGCAAATTTGATTTTAAGAAGTGTGTTCAGTATTTGTCTAGCGTGAAGTCACACCAGAGGCTCTACTTGTTAAATTGTTAACTTTTATTCCAGACACTGCAAGCGTCACATCCTTCTACGAATCTTGTACATGGGCTGGGACTATCAAGGCTATGCAACTCAGGAAGATACAAACAACACAATTGAGCATCATTTATTTGCGGCTCTTAAAAAGTCTTGCCTTGTTGAAGATAGACAGACCAGTAATTATCACCGATGTGGCAGAACCGACAAAGGTGTTAGTTCATTTGGGCAAGTATGTGGTCTCCTCCTGTATTTTATCAACAAATCGTTTCATTTTGTATAAACTCATTGCCTATTTATTCATCCTCTGTAGGTCATCTCAATAGATGTACGGAGTAAATTAAAAGAAGACTATTCTATGGATACTGATCCAGCCAAGGAGTTACCATACTGTAAAATTTTGAACAGGTTACTTCCAAATGAGATAAGGGCAGTAGCATGGCGTCCTGCTCCTTCTGACTTCAGCGCCAGATTTGACTGTCAGCAACGAACTTACAAGTATTACTTTCCCAGGGGCAGCCTTAATCTGGATGTAAGCGTATTGCTCTACTGAGGCTTTTCTTTGTGTGTACAATTGATGTTTGACAATCTTTTAACATTTTAGGCAATGAGGAAGGCTGCACAGTATGTCTTGGGGACTCATGATTTCCGTAATTTGTGTAAAATGGATGTTGGAAACGGGGTCGTAAATTATGTAAGGGAAATCCGTAGTATAAACATAGAGAACTGTACAGGAAGTCAAGGCCAATATAATTCCAGTGAGGCCTCTTTTTTTTCATATTAACAACTATTCACATAATTTTAATTTCTTTTCTATGCTTGGTTTCCTTACCATGAATCCTTTTTTACAGGGTATGATATGATGGTCTTAACATTGATTGGTACTGCATTTTTGTGGCACCAAGTGCGTTGTTTGGTTGCAATACTCTTATTAGTTGGACAAGGATATGAGGAGCCAGAAGTTATGGTGCAGCTTTTAGATATAGAAACTAACCCAAGGTATTCACTACTTTACTAAGTTTAGTGTAGATATTTTGTATAGTGTGCTGTTACATTTTCTTCGTAATTATATATTTTTCCAGGAAACCGCAATACAGTATGGCAAGTGAGGTGCCGTTAAATCTCTTCCATTGTCAATATCCTTTTGATGACTCACTTTGGCTTGTTGATGAAGAAACAATAAGTGAAGTACAGAGCAGTCTTCAAAGAATCTGGACTTTTAGTTCTGTTAAGTATGTATACTGGTTATACAAGCACTGTACAATTTTCTGCCTCAAAATAAAAGTTTCTGATTTTTGTTAAAATTTTAGGACAGTCATGCTGACAGACGTATTGCAACAGATTTCAAAGCTTAAAGCAAAGGATTCAAATTTTGATGCAAGTGAAGCTCTTTTGCAAGGTGTAAAATCAAAAATCTACAAGCCCCTACTGGAAAGGCAGACATGCGGTTTGTATAGAACATGCTTGATGGGCAATGCACTTAGTTTGTCTTCATCTATTTGGAAATATTTTTTTTTTTTATGATCCTCACACAGAGAGTCTGGAAAGCCGCTTACAGCACTATGCCAAGAAAAGAAGATTAGATGACTGCAAAAGTGAGAGTAAACCCACAGCAAAAATTGAGGGAGATATGGACTAAATAAATGTAAATTACTAATAATTTTGTTTTATATTGCTGTTTATTGTAGTATCGGACTTTAAGGTAAATTCCAACAGTTTACAATGGCCTATTTCAGTAAAAAGACTCATATGCACTATTCTACAGATCACAGAAAAAGACAACGAAAACTTAATATTACCAATAACAAATACATTTTATGAGACACACTTAACAAATTGTAAAATATATGTACACTTAAAATCATCAGTTTATCTGACTAGTACACAGCTTCCTCGAAAAACAATAGGTACAAAAAAAACATAATTGAAGACAAAAAGTATTTTTTTTTAAAAAACATTACATTGGCAAAAAAATTATTTTTTTTACCTTAGTTACATGGCAGCCCTCCCAACTTCTGTTTCAGTTGGTCTACTCTGAAATCTATTACAAAACAAACCCAGTAATAAAAATATGTGACATACATGTATACCTGCACTGCTCATGTCAGTAGATGGATATGTATTCCAACACAACTCCAGGACTCCTAACAAGGAAAGCCTCATAGGAATGGTGAAGGGACAACTCCAAACTAGGTAGGGTAAGGTATGGTAATACCAAACATAAAATTGGTAGTGGAGAGACCGTGCACAAGTAATCCCTATGAGATTAGCTGTGAACAATGGTAGCAGCAGGAGTCTAGATGTCACATCCATGTTGACTTTCATCTGAATTAGAAAGAGAAAATGCCATTTTACAAAGTTAATGATGAAATAATAAAATAAAATGCAGATGGTGAAAATCTTACCTGCTTCTGATCATTGCTCTTTTTCTTAGTGGGTTTTTCTTTTTGCTTGGAGAACAAATCATCTTTCACTTGTCGCAACCGAGCAAAACTTTTGAAGTATGTGATCCATTCAGGAAGGAACAGTGCAAGCAAAAGCATATGAAGTCCAAGGAGAAATAAATGGAAACCCCTGTTGACAAATATCTCCTCAGGGAGAAACCTCCAATTCACAGTCCACTTATACATAAATACACGTCCCACATTGAATGCACCAACGAGGTAGGCAACAGGATTTGCAATTAGGAATGGTAGCCCTGCAACACCAAAACAAAGTTCATTTTAACATCGACAAAAGATAAGTTTGGATATCCGATTGGCTTACTTATTATTAGATATTACCTAATAGAAGTTGCAGAGCTGCGCAAATTGATAGCTGGATAACAGTACCCTTTTTACCTAGAGATGTAAGATACAAAATTAGCAGGGCAGGTGCAAAAAGGAGAATATTCATCTTAATTGACACAGCAAAACTGTATGCAATACTCCCAAGTGTCCACCGACCATCCATAAAACAGTTTATAGCTGCATACAAGAATATCATAGCTATAGGGTCATTGAACATTCTCAGGACAAAAATTGAATGAACTCGATAAGACGTGATAATTGACAAAAACAAGACAAATGGTGGAATCTTCTTCGTCTTGATGTAAATCCTAAAGACAAGCATTAGAAGAATGATATACAAAAGGTAAAATATATACTGAGCTATTTTAATGTTCCGACCCTGCTGTGTAGCGTAATAAAATATCATGTATACATAAACAAAACCTGCTGGATATACCAGAGGGCCAGTATCGCCCTTTAATTCTGAATAATCATAGGTACCATTCAAAACACCTTCCACCTCTTGCATGTATGCTTTCCAGTCTATCTCTGTGTAACGCACACGCTCTATCACAAAAATGTTAAGGACCACCTCTATAACAAGTAAAATACATGCCATGATCGAAATTCTTTCAGGGTCTAGAATAACTGACTTCCAAAACTGTGGCGAAGTGACCATGCTGAACGCCGTTCGCAACCGGCCCGTCGGAGTGGCCGGTGCATGTTGATTCCTCCTGGGGGGTGGCATCCTGGACCTTGAGTCCTGGAGCAGGACAGGGAAAATAGCACCGGCCGGTTAAATTTGGAACTGGCGCTAGCTGCCTGCTGCCGCAGCAAGACCACGTTGATGGTTTGTTGTTGGCTCCTTCTACCGACGCAAACAATTCAAGTTGCAAACTCAGCAGAGCTGACAGAACAGACGATTGGGTGGCAGTCACGATCACCCCTGCTGCTGGCTGACGGGGTGGACGAGGTCCTCGGAGACTAGGGTGCGGCGTGCTGTGCTGGGGGTTGAGGGGCACAGGGGGTGTCTCGGGGAGCTCTCGGGGGCTCGGGAGCAGTAGTAGCAGCAGCACCCGCACAGCGACTTGAGCCGGGGGCCGGGGTCGGGCCTAAATCAGCGTCAAGGGGCCTAACCAACCGCAAGCGAGACAGGCAAGGATAGAAGAGAGAAAGGGGTAAGGGAGGGGAAGGGGCACGGCCACGTAGCGTAGCATCGAACCCAAATACAAATAATAACAAGCACTTGTGGCATTCTGAAAAAAGCAATTACTGGGTAATTTGCAATGATTAAGAGTAATTTTTTTCTATTCTGATTCAAACACAGGACAAAAGAATGGATTTTGGTCTTTGTGGCAGACATGACCGCGAGACTTTACTAAAAACTCTGCAGCGGAAGGGGCGTCCATGTGGCTGTGGACATTCCAATGTGCATCAAATGCACTGTTCCTCAGAGTGAATGCAAATGGCTGCCAGTGAAAGTTTACAACGAGTCAAGTCGGAGCATTTATTTTAATGTTTATTCTACAAATTTGAAGGTAGAACCCGTGTGAAATGTGTTGTACAGATTCTTTGCTCCCTTGAGCTTCGTTCTGTGTACGTGGTGTATGTGTTTTAGCTCTGTGAAACCATTTTTTGGCCGTAAGAAGAGTTCATTCACTTCCTTTGTTTGCGGACCTGCCAGTTTTGCTAGGCCTAGACAAGTGACCTATAATATTTTCCAAAGTGCGGCCTACTGTGCTATCCAGCGAGTGTAGTGTGTGTGTGGAACAGTTTTATCAAATTTTTGTGGGTATTTGTGTGTGTTTGGAGGCTTTGAAGTGCCTCGTACGTGAACACTCGGGGGTCGGACGGGCTGCATTCCCGTGCCTTCAGCATAGGCTTCGGCCGTCGCACCTCAACAACACGACCTATTTGGAGATAACTTCTTTCATTCTGTTCTATTATGTCTCAGTGATGTCTTATATTGTGCGTTAGTCGTTGGCGTCTCGATTTTTACCCTACTGTGCTGCGTTTTCTCCTGTGTTTCTTTCATATTGACTGAAATACGAGACATGCAACCAGTTGGGGTGGGGGTACTAGGTGATTGATGCCCCAGTCTGTTGTGGTCATAACCTGCTGGAGAATTTTCATTGTGAAATTTCTCTGGAAAAGTAGTATTTCGGATATTGTCATGCCACTTATATTCTTTAACTAAAAACTTTAATTTCATTAGGGCATTTGATGAAAATATTGTTGTCTCAAATTATTTTAGCACTCTTATAAGGTCACCAATTTTATTTCAAAAGATTCTTATCCCACAATACTAACTATGGCTTTGTCTGTTTTGTTTGTTGCAGGTTCACCATCTGTGATTTTGTGACCCAAGTAATTGTTGAACTTCTCAATGATGAAGACATTCCACTCAAGATGGCCTGGGATGGTGGCTGATTTTTTTATGCTGAAGTGAATATCCACATTGTGAGAATGCCGTGAAGAGAATGAGTGTACCAAGAAGAAGAAATAGTGTCTGAGTCAAAGACATTGTGTTCAAGACATTTTAGTGTTAAATTTTCCTGAAAAAATGTGTGTTTAAGTTAAAATGCTGGTCAAATGCCAGAAATCGCAAGTGGAAGTGAAGATGACAGGTGCGGTTGTAGCTACCCTTTTAGGGTTGGCAACGCTGAGCTTTACCTCAGCAATGAGTGCTGGTGCCATGGTGTCAGTTTTGGACCTAAGTGAACAAGAGCAGGATATAGCAGCTGTTTTCAACAAGGTTGCATATGGAGGAACAACTACAACTAAGCGCAGTGTTAATCCAAACAATGCGCCGCCCCCACCACCATCAGCTCCGGCTCTTCCAACTGCAGCTTCACCTCTGACAATTGCATTGGTGCAGTCAACTACAACAGAGTCGAACCTTTCTCCTGCACCAACCAGCCCTAGCAATCAAGACTTGCCTCCTTATGCACCTCCAAGCAGGGTATTCATCACACCACCGCTGCCTCCCGAGTATGTGGACCAATTTGCTGATAAACCTACTTTGAGAGGTAGCAACTCGGATGGTCCCAACACAATGGCAAGAAGACCGCTTCCACCACCACCACCACCGTACCGTGCTCCTCCAGAGGAAGAACGCATTCCAATCCGTCCACCAGACTTGGCAGTTCCTCATGCCAAGAAAAAGGCCTTGAACACTCCAAGTTTTAATAGGGTAGCTCAAGTTGCCTATGCTGAATTGGCAACTTCTACCGAAAGCACAAGCCCTCGATCAAGCAATGAGACTGATTTTGACTTTGTTCCAATTCTTCATTACTCAAGTGTTTCCCGCATCTTATCCGGAAGCAGTGGCAGAAGACATGACTTTCCTGACATTATGAGTGCAAGCCGTCCTAAGCAAGAAGAAGTGAACAAATCTCCTCGTACTGTGCAAGATATGCCACAACCAACATTCAAGTCTGATCCTATTCGTCAGACTACCACTGAATCCACCAGAGAGCCAACCCAGAGCTCTTTCAGACCAGAAATCAAAACAACCACCATCACACCCTCAACCGAAAGAGCTACCACCATCAGAACTACTTCTACTACTAGCACTACAACTACTACCCCACCAACCATTGACATGGGATTTAAACGAGCCCATAGTCGTGTTTCAGAAATGTCATCTGACGATCACAATCCTGCTCCTCCCCCTCAGCCGCCTCTACAAACACGTTTCAGGGAGCATTCAGAGAGTGTCATCCATCATGCATTCCCTGACACCACGCAGCAAATGAGGCCAAGTGCAAGGCAAGTTCTAGGAGCCGCATGGGATGTTCATGTGTATACAGTTGCTGTAGCATTTGCTCTTTTGACAGTTTACTGTATCTTTGCCCTACTACGCCTTAATGGTGGCAAAAGGTTACTTCCTCGTGGATACTTCCTTTCACTTCATGGATTACTTGCAACTATTGGAATTCTTCGTTGTGGGTTCCTTTCATATGATGCATACAATTCTGGGCATTCATTCCCAGAGCCTATTTCTCATTTAATGCTCAACATTGTTTTTCCACTTCTTGCCACAGCCTTTGCACTTGTGTTCTTGTTTTTGTTACGAGCATGTGAGGTCCACCTAGGCTCGGGTAGATTCCAAAGCCCTGCTATGCTGACAGCTTCTGTTGCCCTGTATCTTGTTGTATGTGTCACTTTAGATCTTTCTACTGGACTGGCCCCCAATTCAACACTATTAACAGTTGCTTGTCAGTGTTTGTTCATTGTTGTTTGTCTAGGATTGGGCTTAAGTTACATGTATGTTTACAAAATGCTCTCCTCTGCTGCTGCTCGCAAGCCTGGACTTGCCCCTCTACTTCAGAGAACCTCACTGGCCCATGCTGTGCGTTCAATGCTAGCTACAGCTTTGTTGGCAGTGCTAATGGCTGCTGTACAGCTGTATGGCATGTTAGGAGTGTATGAGACTCCAGGTGATAATCAGCCTCATCCTTGGCTGTGGTGGGGCTTTCAGTTCTCAGTGAGAGTCATAGAGATTGCCATGTGTGCTCTCTTGTGTTGGGCTGGCACTCAGCCTCCCAGCCATTGTAATCCACATGAAGATGACAAAGAGACTCAGAGTCAAAATTCATCATCAACAGCATTTGCACTTTTCTCATGTGGTGGTGATGCAGCTCATGCCAATCGCAATGATCCAGTAGATGACATCTATCCAGCAGTTTGTGCTACCCAAGCAGGGTATCACTATTCTTTGAGGTCTGGTGGCAAGATATATGACAATGCATACCCTTTGAATAATATTCAACCAATGTCTCCACAAGAGGCTGCATTAGGGTATGGGCCTGAACGCCATTCTCTCAAGAAGTATGCCCCAAGAGGAGGCTTACCTAATGATAGCCCTAGTGTTATGATTAAGTCTGCTAATGATGCGCTCTTATCATATCCCTCTGTAAGAAGGGGGCCACCACCACCTCTACATAGGGCTCAACCATCACCCTCAATGCTTGTAGCTGAGGATGGTTTTGTCCGCTTTAGGTCCCTTGCAGATGCAGAGCATGCTCATGCTGGCCCCCCAGAGATGGTGCATCGGTCAAGTCTATCAAGGAAAGCCCCACCTGTACATCCTTCACAGCAAGATTATGCATCATAGCGTAGGAGCTCGGATAACAAATTAATGTAAGCTTTCTGGTGATATAATTGTATATGTAAGGTTCTGGAACATTGCCATTATCTCTCTGAGGACCTTTGGGCCAGTCAGTTTTGGTGTTCTGTCATTAAAGGTAATTCTTCCTTTGTTTCTGTGATTCATTATTATTGAATTGAATGAATATTTGAAGAGCGCTTCCTGCTCTCTGTACTTCTAAACTAATTATATGAAACTTAAGCTTTCATAATCTTGTTACATCATCATATTAGTCTTTACTTATATATTTTTCTTGTGATAAGTGTCAATTACCCACTTTCCTGAATTCGTAAATTCCTTTTTAGGCGGGATCATTCATTTATTCATTGCTAAAAACAGTGAAGTTTTACTCATGACCGACATTCCTGACTGGTTTATGCATTGTACATATTTTTGTTAATAGAATTTAAATCATGTTCCTTTTATACATAAATATAAATATATGCATATATATTTACATACAAAACATAATTTATATTATACATTTTATAAATATATACATATATTTTTTGTCAACTTTTCACCACGTTTTCAACTTTTGCAATCTGTTTGTTCAGATTATATTGATGCGTATATACAGAATCTACTAGGGCATATCATTGTTTCCTATTAATGCAGGATGTATTAACATTCAAGTGATCACAACTATTTTTTTACTTGGTGTCCATGTGTTCATAATATGATGGAGACTGAAAGTGTGGAGGGAGAAGGGGTGCCTTTCTAAAGACTACTGACTTTTATAGAAGAATTTTCTTTTGTGGTTTTTGTAACCATTTGACTGTTTTTTGTATTGTACTCTGTACTTGTCTCCTAATTATTTAGGAAAAGCTTCCATGTTTTATCCTTTTTAATTTTTTGTAGTTGCAATGTGCATTCTTTAAACTAAATTAACCAGTTTTTATGGGCCACAAGACTTAAAATACTCTATGGTGCTAGCCTATTTTCATAGACCAATCAATAAGACAGTTATTTTCTTATTCTGATATTTCTCATGTCCATGACATTTGCACTGACTGCCAGAGATTTTCTTTTTTATTGAAATAATAGGGAGGACACATTTCCCTTTCTGACTGTGTATATTGTAATTATTTTATTAGAGTCACAAATGACATTTGTCAACCAACTATGAGCTTTTCTTGAAACAAGCTGTTTTTCTACATGTTGGAATCAATAAGTATTCTTGTTTAATATTTGTACATAAAAAAAGGTTGTTTATTACTCTCCATAGCTATGGATTGTGATTGTATTATTTTGTACAGTATTATGTTGTAGCTTTTCCTTCCTGCATATTTTTTCTTTGCTTTAGTAACAGCAATATCTCATCTCATAAACTTGTAGGAGTGTATTTTTTTCATTTACATTTATGTTTAATGAATAAGTTGGGGTGCAGAATTCAGTCTGGCCTCATTAAAATCTTGGTCAACTTGAAGTAGTCAACAACGTTTATTGCAAAACTAATGCTTTGAAACTTCTCTGCTCCTTAACTTATTTACGCAAATTGGGCCATTTCTGTCTCACTGTGATCAGATATTTGAGTGTGTCAGTGAGTGTGTGTGTGTGACTATTTGTTTGAAAGAGAAAGAATGATTGATGTGTTATGAGAATTTATAAATTTAATAGCAAAATTAGTTCTTATTTTTCCTCTTTCAGTCCCTTCTTTTGTTATTACTTGGCAAATTGTTTGTGAAGGAGAATTTTCATTTAAAACTTGCTTCATATTCTTTTTATAGTGTTTTAATCCTTATGTATCGAGTGCCAAGTCTATGACACTGTAGTGTTGCGGGCTTGCCTACTCAAGGGTTGCGGTTGGAGGAGCAGGAAAACCCGCACACCCCAGGGTTGATGTCTTGAAATATGGTACTACTCAGCCAGTGGACTTACAGTTTTGTTGAAAATGTTCTTTGGTTTTGTAAATTGTTGAAGTAAGGATTATGTGATTTGAACACCTCCATCATTCCTGTAACTGTTTTAGTCATGGTAGTTTTCATTCATGAAAGTTTCCCCCACACAAGTGAATTTGCCACTACCCATTTCCCACAACTATTTCTGTGATCTCCTCTTTGACCTGTTTCCCTTTCCTTGTAGTTGCTTGAGAAATCATGAATTCCATAGCCCTTTTATTTGTACAAAAAAGCAATTTAAGATTGCTTGTTCGTGATCCATCCATTTATTTAAGTGTAAAATTTAATTTTGATGAGAGTTATGTACGAATCCAGTAATCTAATAGTGATAAAATGTAATTACTCACTAGGGATTTTGTATATTGTAAATCATCAGTAGACCGTCCACTAAGGTTATTTGTGGCAAGTACTTACTCTCCGATCCTCTCAATGTAGGTGTCAAGACTGCTTTTCTTTTTTTACAATAAACTATTTTCAGTAAAAAAAAAAAATTCTGTTTTATTTTAAACTATTTAAACCAATAAATTTAACAGGAAAACAAACTGCATAAACTAGGGTAAAATATGAATTTTCTTTTCCATTGAAATCTTGGGAAACAAAATTTCTTGAGCTAGTCTTCCTAGTTCTTCCAAGGCTAGTTGGGCATGTAGACGCACAACATCATCCTGATCCTCACAATAAACTGTCTTCAAACTACGATAAAGTTCTAATGCAGCCTCCTGTAACACAGGAAATGTTTCAGCATCTAAGCCCCTCAGTAAATGTGTCAGTACCATTACAGAGGCCCTTCTTGGTTCAAGTGCCTTATCAAAACGCAAAATACTCTGCACACAAACAAGCAGTTCCTGCAGAATTGAACCAATCCTGTACCCAAGAATCTGACATATCTCACCAAGATTTGATAAACTAGAGGCTCGCATTAAATGGTCAACATCTTTTGCGCCCACTAAAAATGCATTCAGCAGCTCATTCTTAAATTTAGGAGCCAATGCTCCCAATTCCCGAACCAGCTTTACTAATATTTCTCCAACTTTTATACGAAGTTCTGGATCCCTGGTGCTACTCTCTCCAGCTGAGACAATAGCAATATACTCTTTTGAAAGAGAATGGACTGCCTCTTCTGGCTGAATAGTTGCAAAGGCTACCATACCATTAATAGCAGCAAGATAAATATACGAATCAGAATTGTTCAAATTTTCTTTGAATAAACAAAGTACTGCTTCTTTCTTGGCTAATGTTTCCTTATCACGTTTATGTAGGAGCTTAGTTAACTGAACAAGAGCATGACCACGAACAGGTAACAAAGGGTCACAAGCATCATGTAAGGCTTCTTCACAAGAAGTCTTCTTGCTATGTTGGTTATTTAAGCTGCTTTCAGATACTGCTCCACATGTTGAAATTATGTTAAATACTCTGGCAGCTAATCTTTTCAGTTCCTTATTTTCAGTACCATCTCTTATCACACTAACAGGTTGAAGGAGATTGCTAAACAGTGACCAGTTTGTATCTTTCCCCGTACTATCCAAAATGACATTAAGAATCATAAATGCAACAAATATACATTCTAAGTCATCATCTTCAAATCCAGATGCAGAATCAGGAGCTACAGATTCAAAGAGATTAAAAATAAATACTAGAATAGGTTCTGGATCTTCAGAAAGCTTCTGCTTCACACCAGTATTCTCAACAAGGGCAGCTAGCAATCGGACAATACCAAGATGTTTTTCAGAAGCTAACATCAGAGATGCTAAAGTATCTTCTACTGTTCCCAAAATGGTAGTATGAACAGTGCTCGGTTTCATGCCTTTCTTAACCAATATTTTTAGCAGCACCTCAAACACAGAAACTGAGAGAGCACAATCATTTTTCTTCTCAAGAAAAATCATTAGCATGTCCCCAGAGTTCTCAACAGTTGAAGAAAACAAGTCCTTTGGGAGTTCAGGAACTTGACTAAGAGAGACACCTCCATTTGCATCAAATCTGAAATCAAAACTTGGAGGAAGAATGTACATGCCCTCCTGTTTCTCCTCAAACAGAAGACATTTCAAAATTTTCTCAAGGTCTTGAGGAGTGCTGTCACACAAAACATGATACAAAATATCTTCAATACATTTAGACAGCCTACTGACACTACCATTTACTTTACAGAATATTTTGTAAAAGAAAAATGTATGAGGTAAGATAATTGTTGCAGGTAAATTTACAGTACTGACATTACTCCCAGGTGAGGCAAAACATTTGTGGACAATGTTTATGAGGGATTCAATTTTTTCTTCACTAAGTATAACACTATCTTCATTTACTTTGCTTACTTCAGAAGAAATATGGCTGAGTGGTAGCAACAATGGTTCTAAGATCAATTTGTGACAAAGAGCAGCATCTCTCTCTAAAAGTTGTCTAATACATGCAACTATTATGACATGCATATCGTTATGTCCATGGCCCTCTACTTTCTGCATTAAATTAAGTAGCTGATTTGCTATGTTATTGTAGTGACTAAGAGGGCTTGTAATTATTTTTGCCAAGATCTCAGTTTTCTTCCAGTCAGCTGCAGAGTCTGGGGAAGAATCAAATGTAGCTTGAATTAATGAAGCAACACCACCAGGCTGAACGAGACAAGAAGTCAAAACACTTGAAACAGCCTTCTTCAGCCACAATGGAGATGTATGTTCCTTTTTGTATCCTTGAAGAATCATGAGCTCCAACATGATTTTAGGCTGGTATGTTTCCTTAACAAGTTTCAGGAGAAAAGTTCTGAAATATACCTTGTCCTTTTCAATTCTATCCCAGATTTCAGTTGTCATAATGAAGTTCGAGTTTGATTGCATATTTGTATTCTCCTCCAAAGTTGGTTTCTTGACTGGTGCATAACTTAATTGGAATAAAGCAGATAATAGTTCATGAATAACATTAGAAATAATGAGAGGCCTAAAATTAGAGTTATCACAGCAACGTAGGAAAAATTTCATGACAATGGAGAGGCGTTCATATTTTTGCATTATTGGAGAAGGTTCCTCATCTAATAATTTTGCCATTGCACAATTAGGTGCCAGCGAAATTAGTCCAGGAATGACATTGGGCAGAATGCCCATCGATGCTACAAACTGCAAGCTTGAACGAGCATACTTTTGATGGGAAACGCTCAAATCATCTTCTTGGAGTTTCTCTTCCAATTGTAAAATGATAAACATAACAGTCTCCACATAGTCCCAAATTAAATCTGAGCCACAATCAATGAGGCAACCTTGATGTGGGACTTCTTGGACGTTTTCATATCCCAATGTCAGAATTGCCTTCTTCAGATTAAACTGAAATGCTTCCCGCAGACCATCAATTTCTCCAGATTCAGCAGCACTTGTAGGTGTGACAAGACATTTTAAACCTTCCCACAAGATCGTAAGGTTATGTCTATCGGTATTGTTTTGTGCAGACGCCATGTCTAGTAGATTATGACATGCCAAAAGAGACGATCTAAAAATAGAAAATAATTGTAAGTTAGTATTTACATGATGTATTACGCATACGGCTTCGTAGGGCGAACAGTCAAATAAAAACCAACTTTCAAGACAATGCCTCAAAAGCAGGAGAGTTCAAGCAGCAACAACAACAACGCCGACAACAAACAACAACAAACGGACCCAACGACTCCATAGCTACTATTTACTATTTACACTACAGACACGTTCTGAATAATTTTACTGTCAAAGACTTAGCTATTGTTCTCAATATTCTTAGAAATATGAGAATTTTATTATATTGATTCATAATCGCTGTTTAGAGCAGAAGCTATAGAAATAAAATATGTGTATTTGTGTTGTACAGTTGGTGCCACTGAGGAAAACACTACTTATTCGCAAAAAGGGCGCGCTTGCTGGCTGAATGACGGATGACGCTCGAATTCAAATCCAAAGCATTATGTTTCGACTGAATACGGCTGCATTTTCTTCGTATTTTTGCATTTGCTTCCCCCTTATTTCTATTTAAGAGGTATGTATTGTTTGTCACATTTGTGATTTCTTCACACTCGTGTGTGTCAAGTTCAATTTAATGTTGTAAGGGTGCCTAGTAAAAATTCAAGGAAACCGTTCCCCATATTAGAGCAAGACCAATATTTATTTTTTATGTCTTTACTTGTTTTATAAAGAAAAAATATCAGAGTTAAAGTAATGGAGAGTAATCTAGATTAATTTTATCAGCGAGCAATCAAGTGTGAATGTTTAATCTGTCACTATTATCTTGGGAAAACCGTATTCTACCGAGAATTGTTGATTCTAACCTGCGAATTTGAATATAGGTGCCTAATGTTTCTTATGTAATCGTTGTTTTGGAGAGATTCACCCCTCTTTAGTCATTCGTTTTGCTCGTACACCTGGTACTTGTTCATATCACCTCCTGCACTCTTTACAGATAATTTATCAGCATGTCGTTTGATCACACGCTGACCCGCTTGAGCTCAAGTGAAAGTGTTGCTTCACCTCTTCGTAAGAAATCAATTCTTGCACTTGCCAATACAAAAAGCTCAACTGACGGTGTTTTGGTATGTTTTTCTATTATTTATTTGTCTTCTGTGTTTATTTCATCTCAACTTTACATTAGGTTTCTGTTTTTATTACAGAACGATGATGACGCTGAGAGAAGAGAGAGACGGCGGAAATCAGTTGTTCCCGACCAAGCAAATTCAACTGCAGCACTTGATTCTGCTAGTCGGAGGAAATCGCTGGGTTTGGGAGCATGCAGTGGGCTTTCAACTGCCCAGTTGGCTGAGCACTATGCAAGCTGCATTAAACTTTCTACTGAAAATAAAATCACAGTTAAAAATGCCTTTAGCTTACAGCTCATTGACTACATGTCCATGATGTTAAAGCGCCATGATAAACAAATGGAAGATTTTCAGGTCTGAATTTTTTATCTTTTTTTTAATTGCAAGGAACCAATATTTATGAATAATGTTACTGATAAAATTGATTCTGTAGGTTGCAAGTTGCACTCTTGATGCCAGCACTAAGATTTATAGCTTTAGAGTTGATGCTGTCCATTCAGATGTTGTTCAAATGGCAACTACAATGGGTCGCTCTGAGGCAAACAGAAAAAAGAAAAATTCTGATGGAGATGGTGATGGTCCCGATGGTTTAGAGGATAATGATAATGGTGATGATGGCCCATTGGAATCTCAAGTATTAAAAAAATTGAAGAAAAAATCAAGAAAGGTATAATATTACCAAACCCTCAAGTGTGCCTTTGTTTACAATACCTATCTAGTTTTTATACTTACAAACCCTTGAAATGTGTTGCCCTTATGGTCTGTTATATTTTTTTCAGCACAAGAGCTCTATTACAGACAAACCTGAATCTCTTCAGCGCAAGCAACAAATTTTTCAAACCATGAATCCGTTTCTTGTACGGCTCTCTGCTACTTTGGCTGTTTCTCAAACTGGTGAATGTCCATTCCACCATTCATCAAAAATTCGTGAGGACTTGAATGAAAATGAGACTGACAAGGAATCTCAGGAATCCCGCAATGTTCCCCTTCCCAATATACCTGGTAAAGAGCAAAGGTTTAATTCAATATCTTAAATGGTTGCAAGATTATTAATCCAATCTAATCTTTTGTGTCACAGATATTACAAATCTTGAGCTGTGTCCTTCATTCCGAGATTTCAACATTGTTGGCTGGAGACCAGAAAATGATCCTACACCAGTACCTGATATACCTCCCCCTCCTACATTACCCCCGCTCGATAATGTGGATGATGATGCTTTTGATATGAATCAAACACCAGAACCTATACCAGACTTTGATTGTGGGGGAGGTGGTGGTTTTGATGGTGGTATGGTTTACTTTCATGTACAATCAGTCACAATACTTCTGAAGAATTGTGTTTTAATTTATCCACCTAATTCCGTGAACGTTTCTTAGGCATGGATTCTGATCATGAGGAAATTTATGCTGCACCAGAGGGTGCTCAAAGAGCTGCAGCCAAACTTGCAAGGCAGCCTGCTCATGTGGTAGATTTGAAACAGCATTTATCTACAGTTCCTCTTGAGTACTCTTATTTTCAACAAAGTATGATATCAATGTGGGCAGGCCCAGCCCATTGGAAAGTGAAGCCTCTGCGCAAAGGTCATTCTCTTTAGAAACTGAGATTTAAGTATCCTTTTCTGCCTCATAATTTTAGCTACAATCTACCTCTTATTTTTGTTTTTATAGATAAGGATAAAGATGTTGCTGTTCACAAAGAAGCAAAGAAGCGAACAAAGAAAGAAATGGTTATTTCTTTTGAGGATACGTCTGAGCTTAGTCAGAAGTATTTTGGAACTGGCACAAAGAAATTAAATAAGAAAACCATTCAAGGCTGGTGCATGGATAAAGTAACAAATCCTAGGAATATTCATTACGATGGTTCTCAAATAACAAGGTTTGTGACCTTTCTACTATCGTACAGTCTCCAATTTATTTCGTAAAGTGTAAAGGCAGTGACTATACCCATATACTTTTTGTTGCTTAGATTGTTTACTAGGGAAAACATCACAGTTAAAATTGAAGGTGATACACCAACTCCAGAGGTTGATGAAGGAGTTGGGGAATACCAATATGATAATCCTACTGATAGTACAAACTTCTGTCCCAATGTGGTATGTAAAACCTTTCAAATGAAAAGAAGTAACAAGGATAGTTTTGCAACATAATTGAATACATTTTCTAATTCTTAGCCTCAAGAAAATGATGATGACGATGATAATGATAATGGAGCTGATGCTGGAGATGGGGATGGAATGATGCATGATGATGATGACGATGTCTTCCAAACTCAAGATGTACATATGGAAGTAGAGGCTCAGGAACATGAGACAGGAGCGTTTACTGGAGACAATCTTATTGCACCTCCAAACAAGGTACATAAATTAAATCACTCGTTTTTCAGTTGCGTAATGTATCGTTAATATTACATTTTTAACATAAAATATTGTGGTTTTCAGGTTGCCAAATTGTATATTCCATATCAAATGAGAGCCAAGAAGATGGACATGAAGAAATTAAAGAGTGCTATGTGGTCAATATTGACAAACTGTCCTGAGGTATTTCAACTGACCTAAATTTCTCTTTAGATTTGTACAATTTAAAATGCGTTCCTAATTTTTCTACTTTTTTTGCAGGGTAATTTGGACGAAGCAAGTGCACTAAAGACAGACGAACAGAAAATGGTGGATTCAGTTAACTTTAAATCTCTGTATGGTACACTCCCTCATCGTGTGCCTCAAAAAATGGCCGAAAATCTGAGTTGTCCTCTAGCTTTTGTTGGGCTCCTTCATTTAGCAAATGAGAAATGCTTGGACATCAAAGGTGTAAATGATATGAGTGATCTGATAATTCGGCAGGGCTGATTTTTGTGGTTAGTCCCTCTTAACTCCATCCAAAATTTCAAACTCGTCTCCTTACTTTTACTGTAAGCTATATCATATTATTTTATTTTTCTGCTATTTTAATGTGCATGGTAGTTGAACTGAAGCAACTGCATTAGTTTATGCTCCACAACTGAACCACAGAGAATGTAAGAAATGCTTTGCTGTTGTATAATCATTTCAAATAAGTGCAATGTCATATTTATGTTTTCACATTTTTATTAATATTAGAAAAAAATAGTGTATGAACTTAACATAAATTGTCAAAACATATAATTTATTACATATTGAATAAACTGTTTTATGTGAGTTAGATTCTAATCACTGACATCTTCCTCATCGCTGAAATAGGAATTAGGCCTGATTTTCTTCTTAACTGGCCTTATCTCTGATTCTTGACTGTTTTGTTCACTTTCAACTTGTTCTTGCTGTAAAAAATATTTTAACTAATGAAATTATTCACATGAGTAATTTAAATTATTAATTTATAAGAGATGCTCACTGTTAAACGAATTGCAGCACTGAGTGTTTCTAGGTCTGGTTCAACATCTTCGTCTGACTCATCTGCATCATTTCTTTGAGAAATAGGCAAAGGCTGCTTTGGTTTGCATTCATAATCATCATCTGAATCAAAATATTCATCTCGCTCAGGATCGGGTGCAGACTCCTCCTGATCCAATAAAATCTCATTAGAAACAAATGAGATAAAATACAAGCCAAAATTTGATTGATACTGGTCCCCTCCTGACTCATTACCTTTTTCTTGCGCTTCCTCTCTTTTTTGGGCGGCGGATCTCTATTGCCTAAAGCATTTTTTGAACATGCATAACTTAAATGGCCCTCCTCCCCACATTCATAACATTTGTTTTTATCAGGGTAATTACGACGCCTGATGAATTCAGTACTCCTGCCATTGTCAATGGCAATACTGCTCTTGAGACGTCGCCCAAACATCTATGAGAAAGAAACACATTGTTAGACTTCATGGTGGCTTTTAAAAATAAGCATGAACTGATAAGTCTACGTACTTCTTGACCATTAAGAGACCGAGCACATGTCTGAGCATCTTCCTTCTTCAGGAATAATACAAAAGCTACACCTTGACTTTTACGAGTAACTTTGTCCTTTTTCACAGTCACCCTAAAAGCAGTGAAAAAATAGTTATACATTCGTTTCGAACTTTATAGCTTTATTACTCAAAACGTTCACTTACTTGACCACCCTACCATACTTTTCAAATATTTTATGTAAGTCATTATTTGTTAAAGAGTACGGGAGGTTACCAACGTACACTGTGCTTTTACTTGGTGCTAAACCACTGCTCATTGCACAGACCGTCGTAATAAACTATTGAGATCAAGAGGAAGCAAAATAGTGAGAGTTTCCTTCAATCAAATCTGACGGTGTGATAATAAATGTAAACAAAACAAACAGAACAAACTGACTTTCTCATACTCAAGAAAAGACAAATGACAGCGCAAAGATATTTCTCATAAAAAAGACGGTGGCGCGCGGCATTTAAAAAAAAATGCTTGTACATCTAATGTACTTGTAAACTAAGTTCGGAAATACATGAACTTTACTGGTGGAAAACATCACGGTGACTTGTAAGTTTGTAAAAATTGAAACAAAACTTGACCCTCTTAATAAACAAATTCACATTGAATACTAGAGTATGAACTGTAGTTCCGGGCAACCATCAAAAATTTAAATTTGTCTGTGCCATATTTACCACTCTTTACGAATGACTGGCCGACTTACATATCACCCCCCCCCCTTTCCCCCTTCCCTAGCGCACAGCGGCGCAGCCAGGCACAGCCACCCCCGACCCCCGGGCGCGCCTCGCGCATGGCGGCTGCGGCCGGGCGGGCGCGGGCAGCTGCCCCCTCCCTCCAATATTCTCTCTCATCTCATCCTACCCACCCCCCAGCTGCAGCCCCCAGCCCCAGCGCGCTGGAGGGAGGGAAGGAGCAGCCCCTGCCCGGCCCCAGCTGCCCTGCGCCCCGCGGCCCCCGCCCGCGCCGTGGCCCGCGCATGGCAGCCCATGGCGGGGCCCGCCCCGCCCCCCGCTCAGCCGCCAGCGCCAGCCGCCAGCCCGTCCAGTCGGTGGATAGACGTCGCCGCGGCAAGACGCAGTGACAAGCGCCACGCTCCGGCCCGCGAGAGTCGCGCATCGGACGGCAGCGGTGGACCTAACAACACGGTGGTGGACCCGCACCCTTCGACGCAGTCCTGGCCTGTCCTGGCCAGCCACCCGACGACATGAGGCGGCCGTCCTCGTGAGCACTCGGAGGAGGCCGCCCCCGGCCTGCCCCCGGCCCGCCCCCATGCAGCTGGGCCATGCAGCCGCCCCCAGCGCGGGGGGGCTTGGCCACTCGTGACAGTGGCGGGAAGGCCCACCCGGCTGCCCGGGGAGGCTCTCCTCTCCTTAGGCTCCGACCAAAGGGCGAGTGACGCGCCGTGAGAGTGAGAGTGAGATAGGCCCCCATGGCCCCCAGTGAGCGGCTGTGAAGTGCACCAGTGATCCTGATACGGGAGGCCAACACCCTGGGCCCGCGCCCGCGTCCCCCCGCCCGACCCGGCGGCCGCTCGTCTCCTCGCCGCCAGCGGTCCAGTGCCGTCGCAGAGCGGAGCCTGCGGAGCGGAGGAGACGATCCGACGACATGTCCCGCCGAGCACCGCCTCCTCCTCGGTAGTGCAGCGGGATAGGAGGGGCGAGGTGACAACGCGACAGCAGGACAGCAGCTAGACAACATCAACATCGACCGACAAGCAGCAGACAAACACATTCGGTGAGTAGTAAAGTGAGGCGCCGAGGCAAAGGTGAAAAGGGGGGA